CCCTCTGTGTCCAAGGCTGGCCCACCATGTCTAAGACTGGCTCTCTGTGTCTAAGGCTGGCCCACTGTATCCAAGACTAGCCACTGGGTCTGGGTCCAGGCTTTCCTTTGTTTCCTCACCAAAATTCCTCACAAATTGCAGAAAGGAGGGTGGCCACTGGCCTAAACATTAGGGTGGTTTTCTTTTAAATTTCTCTCCAACTTGGAAACTGAGCCTTCCCTTTCACTTCTCTGTTCCCTCTGCTGGTCAAACCCACCCCTCGCTGGGGTTCTGCCAGGTAGTCTCAAGACTTCCTGGCCCAGCCTCCTTGGTACACAGTGTGTCTCCATTTCAGAGGTCAGCTTTTTAAGCCTTATCATCTCTAAATGGGATTATGGGAAACCTCTCTCACTGGCCCTTAGGCCGACGATGTAGCATTCTCCGGCCATAGCCAGTGAGGACCTGAAGTAGATGGCAGAGAGGCCCCAGGCCCCCACGAGACCCTCGCAAGCCCAGGGGCAGGGGCAGCAGAGAAGGGCGCCAGGACTCTCCCCCGTCCTCTTGCCATTGCAGCTGCTGCCAGGACGCCGTCTTACCAGCTTCTTACACCAGGCACAGCCTGGCCCTGACTTGATGCACTCTTGGCAGGTACTGACTTTGTACTTGGGACATTCCTGGGAAAGGACTGGAAGAGAGAACAAAGCATTCAGGCTTTTCCATCCAGTCCCTCTGCCCTCACCCTCTCCTAATCCCATCCCCTGAGGCCGATCTGGGCCAGCACCGGCCCCTGGGGCCGTGGCTGTACCCAGCCAACCCAATCAACCCAAAGCTGGAGCCCAAGAGCCTGGGCTGGGTCCTTCCCCACGGCCCCCAGATAAAGACCTCATCCCTGGGAGCACACAGTGGGGGCCTGCTCTGACACTCCCATTTCTGGGTCCCGGTCAGTTTGGGAATTTGATCTGCTGACCGAGGGTTTTGGTTTTTCTTTCCATTTTAGGGGAGGGGGAGAAAAAAATAGGTTTTTGCTCATTAAAAACAATGAAATCAAATTAATGTGGTTGGATTGAATGGAACCCCTCTGGTCCTCAGTTTTCCCAGCCTGTAACATGAGGGAGCAAACTGGACCATTGCTAAGTTCTCCTCCGCTGGGCTAATCTGCTCTGGTTCTGTGTGGCGGAACTCACCTGATGGTGGAATCAGCAGCCCCATCAGGGCTAGGGCCAGGAAGCTGTGCCAAGGCATCGCCTATGAGACAGGAAGAGACACTAAGACTGGGGAGCCCAGCCCCGGGCAGCTTGCCCTGGCCAGGCCCCCTCGAGAAGAGAAGGGGAGAACTCATGTTTACTCATGGAATTATATTTTGGAAGAAACACCATAATGACACCGTAACAAGGGCTTGGGATTCAGTCCATGGGCACTGAGAGATGAAATTAAGATGCCCCAAACTAGACAGAAAACAGAGATCTCCCAGAGTTTCTATAATGACCTATTCTCCTTTGTGAGGACAGCAGACCCACACCTTGGGGACCTGCAGCCCCCGACGCCCTGGGGTGTGGCATAAGGAACCAGAAATGACACTAGACAAGGGGAGGCGAGGAAGAGAGCTGGACTGGGGGAAGTGTGCCCCATGGGGGATGAGAAGCCTCTGGGGGACTGATTTCCAAGATAGCAAAGAGAGTAAGAGACGGAAGGATCGGGAAACAAATCACAGATGGCATCACTTCCAATACTGGCCCACCCCCCAAGATGAGTGGACATTCGTAAGACTTGACCTACATGTCTGCTTTTGGACCTGAAAATAACAAAAGTGCACTCCCCTAAAATAATCTCATTCATAAACATTTCCCTGACACAGACATGTCCCTCGTCTGGAAGACTGAAGTGCTATTATAGAGTACCACATTAATTAGACCAATATAGTCTTATTACACATTTTATATTCAGTAAATTTTCAAGCATCCCAAGCAGTCCTGAGCAAAATCAGCTTTGAGTTAATGGGGCAGGTGACACTTGATTCAGTCGTGTAGCCAAACCCAAGTGACACCGAAGGAGAAGAGAAGGAGGTGCTGCGGCCACTGAGGGACCAAAGTCCTGGGAAAGGAAAGGATGTCCCGCCAATAGGAGAGATGGCTAAGCCAGTATTCCCGGCAGCTGGCAGTCTTGGTGGTTTCCCCCAAGTTTCCAACCGATTCCCAAAGAAGCCAAGAGGCTTCTCAGTGGGAAGGGGACTGCTGGGACAGGAGGGAGCAGATACTGCAGGCCCCACCAAGTCTGCCTTGACCTGGGGAAGCCCCCAGCAAGGAAGGCTGCACAGGAGCGCTGCCCACAAGGTTGCCCACCACCACCACCCAGAAGCCACTGTGGTTGAAGGAGGCTACCCGCTTGGCACAAGTATGGTCAGGGCTGCCCCGGGGGAACACTACTGGAGCTTGGCACAGGGTTAGGTGGAGGCAGGAACAGGGAAGGCTCCACTTTCTTTAACCGCTGTACCCAAAGTGGGCCCCCATAATTAGACCTCATCACTGAGCTCTCCACCAGAGCCCTCCATCAAGACTCCTCTTTAGACATACCAACAGTCCCGGGATGGGCACCCCCCCCGAGGTTCTCATCTGCTCACACTTCCGTGACTGCCCGAGTGCCAGCTGAGGGCACCCGGGAGAATGAGAGGGTGTGGGGGAGGGAAGGAGGAAGGGGCGCAGTTCCTAGAGTTCACCATTTTGCTTCAGGTTGTTTTTTGGCTTTACCCCAAAGACTTCTTCGGGCCACCCTTGACATGCAGGCCTGTCTCTGAGCTGGGCATGAGGCACAAGGAGGTGCATGCCCAAGTCGCCACGAGGGCTGCCCCAAGGATGTGAAGCCAGCTAGCTAGTGGGTGGAGCAGGAGAGCTGGGGGTTGCCTGGCTGCATCCACTCTATGGTCTGATCCCCACTCCAGTGGCCTTTTAGGACTGTGGAAGAGGCCAGAGCCAGGGCCCAGCCTTACACACTTGACCTGCCACCTTCATTCTCAAAGAGGACCGTGACATCAGGGAGGTGATGCCGTGACATGCGAGTGAATTAGATTTAAGTGAGGAAGGCTGTGCAAAGTCACCAGCCTTACTTTCTCCTCTAGAACCATCAGGGTCCAGTGGTAAGATATAGATCAGGATGACTGGAGATGGCCCAGGATGCAGGGGGTGGGGATGGGGGGAAGAGAACCTTGGCCTTTTTAAGCCAAGGTCTTTTTTGGGGGGTGGGGGCACGAGGCAGTTGAGGTTAAGTGACTTGACCAGAGTCACACAGCTAGTAAGTGTTACCTGTCTGAGGACAGATCTGAACTCGGATCCTCCTCCTCCAGGTGCTCTATCCATTGTGCCACCTAGTTGCCCCTTAAGCTAAGTTCTTTAACAGGTCTCAGTTTGACTGAGGCAACACCCATTCAGTGATTAAGGCTGGGTAAGAAAAGAGGCAGAGAATGGCCTTTTATCTAGTATAAAAAAAAATGGATCTAGGAGGGGGGGACCCTCAGGGCTTCTGGCCAAAATAGAAACAATTGCTATTTACTTTCATTCGGAGCCAATCAGGGCCCAAACAATGACCAAGTGAAGCTTGGGCTGGGACCTACTGTTGGCCAATCTATGAGAGGCAGAGTGGTTTGAGGTTAAGTTTCAGAGATTAAAAAGAGAACCTGAGTTGTCTCTGCCCAGCTGGGGGTGGGGGGAGGGAGGGAGAGAGACAGAGAGGGAGAACGCGTCCATTTCAACATATAACTTAGCCCTCTGCATTCTCCCACACCCCTAGGAGGTAGGAACGCAAAGGAGGAAACTGAGGCTAAGGTAGGGACAGAGACCTGTCCTGGGCCACACAGCCAGCAAGGGGCAGGGTCGAGTTCAAATGCTGATCTTTAAACTTTGCACTCTCTACACCCTGCTGCCATCACATCAAAATTCATCTCAATTCCACAAGCCTACTGGGAGCCAAACTGGGGATTCAAAGACATTAGTGAGAGAGCCCTTGCCCTCAAGGGGCTGATGGCAAGACTGGCGCACACAGTGATCCCAGGGAGTTCAGGGGAGAACGCAATGACAGCTGTCTGTGGCTGGCAGGGAGAGGAGCCCAAGGTGATCAGGAAGGTGGCTTGAACACACTCTGTTTGTCAGCCTCCCCCGGGCCGATCTTGGAGTCTTCCTAACTGGGGCCCTGTCTCTCCCCCTACAGAAGCTGTTCCTGGGTTCAGGAGGTGTGGTCCTGGCCCCTGAACTAAGCTTCAAAGGATGGGACACAGCAGAACATCAGTAAGCTACCCACAGCGGTCTCCTTGGTTTCATACCTGGGCCAACCATTAGAGAAATCAATTTGGAATCCTGCTATAATTATAAGAAAAATGACTAAGCTGTCCGTTCTCCTTGGCCCAGAGATCCTGTGACTAACCATCCAGACCAAAGAGGTTAGACAGAAAGGCTTCACATCCTCCAACACCCTCCTGATGGCACCACAAGGGCTCCACTTCCTCAGACAAAACTCCTGCCGTTTCTTCCTTCCTCAGGCCACCTCATGCCTACCTCCCCAACAAGTCACCGCGCATGCTCTGACGTCGCCTCCACCTTGAGCCTCAGTCTCCAACCAGGATGCCTGGGCACAGGGCAAGTCCTTCTGGCAGCCCTCTCCTGGGCCCTCCCTGTGCTTAGGCAGGCCACCCTTTCCCTCCCCATCTTGCTCCCCACAAGCCCCCCGCTTCCACTCTTGCCCTCTTGGCGGATCCCTCTCTACTCCTGGACCTCTCCCAGTTCTCCTCCCACCTGGCTGACCGCGCCTTCTCAGTCTCTTTTCTGTTCGCCTTGGCTTATGTGTCATCTTAGGAGTGGGTGTCAGAGGTGGAGGGGCGCGGCAGGCCCATCCTCCACAGTGGTCTGGGGCACAGCAGTGACTGAAGGTGCCTGGGGTACATGTGTGTGAATGGGTGTGGAGGGGGCGAGGCTGGTGCTGCCCAGATGGGAGGGCTTGAGGCTGCGTGGAAAGCAGGAGTGGCAGCCAGTCTGAAGCAGCAGCGCCAGACCCTCTCTCCTACTACTTGGCTCCAGCAGAGCCAACCCCCAGGCCAGTGGGGACACAGCCGGCCACACTCCCTTTGCCCATTCTGTGTTCAAGGCCGTTGCTTATTCATGTCCCTTGCTTGGAGGGCCCCAGCCCCATCCTTTCTACCAAAGCCTTCCCAGCCCGATCGACACAATCATCGAACCAGAGAGACAGAACCGAGAAAGGCGCAGAGCTCCTCCCTGCCCCACGCAGTGCTCGCCAGCCTCCCCCCAGGTCTGCAGTGTCGAGGACCTGACCACCCCCTCCCCAGGGGAGCGCTCCCATGCCCTGGTGCCTCCTTTCTTGGCTTGGGAATCTGCCTCCGCATCTGCTCCCCTATCCCCCTTCTGCCCTCGAAGGCCGAGTGGAGCAAGCCGACGTACCTCGTGTGTGACGGAGGACAGCTAGATTGCCCCCAGCCTTCTTCTCTGGGCTGAGCACCCCTGGCTCCTCTGGCCACCTCTTGTGTGGTGGGGCTTCCAGGCTTCTCACTTCCCTGTGCGCTCTCCAGCTACTCAATGCCCCTTCTAAAAGGGGCCTTCTAAAAGGCCATGCCCAGACCAGAGAAGAGAGCAGGGAGGAGGAGGCCCCCAGCACACGGCCTCACATCCCACTGGCCTTGGGAGTGGGGAAAAGGGCTGCTATGGCACCTTGGGAACTCATACTAAATGTACTACTTCACCACATCACACCTATCAGATTGGCCAACATGACAAAACAGGAAAACGATAAATGTTGGAGAAGATGTGGGAAAATTGGAACACTAATGCATTGTTGGTGGAGTTGTGAACTGATCCAACCATTCTGGAGCCCTGGAACCAGCAATAGCACTTCTAGGTCTGTATCCCAAAGAGATCATAAAAAAGGGAAAAGGGCCCACAAGTACAAAAATAGTTACAGCAGCTCTTTGTGTGGTGGCAAAGAATTAGAAATTGAGGGGATGGCTGAACAAGTTATGGCATACGAATGCAATGGAATACTATTGTGCTATAAGAAATGATGAGCAGGTGGACTTTGGAAAAACCTGGAAAGACTCATATGGACTGATGCTGAGTGAAGGGAGCAGAACCAGGAGGACGTCGTACACAGTAACGGCCACGTTGTGCGATGACTAACTTTGCTAGACTTGGCCCTTCTCAGCAGTGCAGGGATCTAACCTCTCCAAAGGCCTCGTGATGGAAAATGCTCTCCACGCCCAGAGAAAGAACCATGGAGTTTGGATGCGGATGGAAGCAGACTGTTTGCTTGCCTTTTCCTGCTTCACTCTTGTGGTTTCTCTCATTAGTTCTAATTGTTCTTTACATCGTGACTAATGGGAAATATGCTTAATATAAATGGATAAGTAGGGCCTATGTCGGACTGCACGCCATCTTGGGGAGGGGGAGAAAATTCAGAACTCAAAATCTTACGGAAGTGAACGTTGAAAACCAAAAATAAATAAATTAATTTAAAATAAATAAGCATGCCACTCTGACTTTCTCTCCTAAATGAAATAGTTGAATGCAGAATGGAGATGAATAAACCGGGGCCTCCAACGCCGAGGACAGCCATCCTTCTCCGCAAGCCAGCCTAGGCTGGTGCTGCCTAAGGATGAGTCTTGGGGGCAGCAGCATCTGGCTGGGAGGGGCCCAGACCACTGTCCTGGGGCCAGCGTGGGGCCAGCGGGCAGACCCCTGCTAGCTCAGAGAGCAGGCTTGGGGAGGGAGGAAATGAGATGCCGGACTCTGTGCTATGTGCTACACAACTCTGAGAGAAGGGCGCTGTTCTTATCCCTAATTTACGTTGGGGAAACTGAGGCAGAGAGCAGTGGCGTGGCTTGCCCAGCCAGTAAGTATGTGAAGCTGGATTTGAATTTCTGTCTTCCTGACTCCAGGGCCAGGGAGTAGAAGGGAGGCACACTTCCCCCATCAGGTCCACGTTCAGTGTGACTCCAGGTAGTCCCCCCATAGTTCAGGGCGTTTCTGGAAAACTCCATTTTCTAGGCCCTCTTGGATTGGAACCTTTGTCCAGCTGAGCCGCGGGAGGGAGGCTGGACCTCTCCCCATCCACTGGATGCCCAGGCCGATCTTGCCACCATTCTCGGGCCCAGCTCTCCCCAGGATCCCGTGGTGGCTTTGCTTTTTCTGTCCCGATGTCTCTGGGCCTCCAGCCTCCCTCAGCCCCTTCCCTGGCTAGGGCGGCCAGCCGTCTCGCCTGTTAGGACTGTGTGTAAATGGAGAGTCGCGAGGCCCCAAGCGAGGGCTTCGCGGTGTGGCTTCCACTCTCTGGTGTGTTTACTTCCGGGGTGGGTTTGGGCTGTGTCCTGGGGAGCTCTTGTGGTCAGATAAACCATCTCTGACTCAGTGAGAGAGAGGTCGCTGCGAGAGGCAGGGAGAACAGCGAGATGGCAGGACCCGGTGCCAGAGGGCCCCGACCTTGCCTCTGCTACTGACGCATCCTGGGACTCAGCAGGTCACCTCCCCCTCTCTGGGCCTCAGTTTCCCTTCTGTAAAATGAGGGGGCAGGCCCAGCTGAGCCCTGATGCCTCCTGCCACGTGCCTCCCAGCCCTGAGAGGCTCTTCCCTGAGCACTGCTGCAGGGCTCCTCTTCCTCCTCTGGCATGGAGCTCCGAGGCCCGTCCCTCTGGAGAAAGGCAGGTGCCTGGACACAGCAGGTGCTTCATAAACGTTTACTGACTGACACACCAGCTCTCCAAAAAAACAAGGTGGTCCAGACCACCCCGAGGATGAAGTGTGATCAGTTCTCCCCTCCACGACTGACTAGAACCTTCCCAGGGTGGGGGATGGGTGTTTCACAAGCCTTGCAGCAATACAGGAAGAAGCCGGTCACTGCTCTTGTTTGGAGCTGGGGGATCCTGGGGAGGCGCCAGTCCGCTCCCCTCATCGAACAGCTGGGACACAGTGGGGAGCCTCGGTGGGTCACAGGGCGCCTGGCAGCCCAGCCTTCCCTGGGGATCCCATCCTGAGCCGGCTGTGCTGAATCCTTGGAGTCTCTGTAAAAGGGTGTTGCAAGGTGACGCTGTCCCGCTTCCTAGTGGGCATGTGCCCCGGGTTTCCAAAGAAGCCTGGAGGACCTGGGGCCGGCCCTGGGTGACAGGCTGCCAAGAGCTGCCATTGCTGAGTCCTTCAGACTGCTCTCCGTGGAGCCCTACAACGGCGCTGAGGAGGGGGTGCAGGTTACAGTTGCCCCATTTGAGAGGTGTGGGTTTGGAGGTTGAGAGGCCAAGTGAGTCGCTAGGGGTCACAGTTAGCAATTGTTAGAGGCAGGATCTGAACACAGGCCTTCCTGACTCCGGGTCTCTTGTGACCATCTTGCGTGGGGTTCATCTGCTTCCATTCAGCCCTAAAGCAGAGCAGACACACTACGGCCAGGCCCGGCCCCTCTGCTTTCTGCTGCCTCCCCGGGTGGTCCTAAGAGGAAGGGGCTGAGGCCCAGGAAATCACTGGGGGTGAAGGAATTCTGGACCGTGGTTGTAAGCAGAGGCTGCCCGGCTCACCCGGCCTCCAGCCAGCATGGGCTATCTGGAGAGGGGCAGGCTGTCTGGACGCTGGCTCTCGGCCAGATGTAAGCTGAAGGGCCTCCCAGGTCCTTTCCTGCATCAACCTTCAGGGGCCACCCACGCTGGCGAACAAGCTCTTGGCGAATCGGGGGGCCCGGAGCTGAGTGCTGCTGTGGCAGGAACTTCCCACCCTGGGGAGGGGCCAGAGCCTGACCTCCACCTCGGCCCCATCTCCTCTGCCCAGGGCAGGCCCCCTCGCCACAGCGGCCCCTGACTGGGGGGACCTCCCTCAGAGGGACATGCACTCACTCCTTCAGGGAGCCATGGAAAGGGGGGCTGCTCTGGGGCCTAGGCCAGGTGCACCACACAGGGGCGTTGCCCGCTGCCCCTCGAGTTCTAAAGCTCCTGCTCCGGGTGGCCTCAGTTTCTCTACATGTAAAAAAGGGTGTTGGTCCAGACCACACCTACGATGAAATGTGATCAATGTTCCCCTCCAGGATGGACAGAACATCCCTGGGGCAGGTCCAGGTTAATCCTTGTAGGCCCCAAGATTCTCCCACATGTGAAAGGCTGAAGGTCCTGGCCCCCACCCCACCTTCCCCCTGGCCCAGGGTCTTACGGCGCTGTCTCCCACTGCCTCCTCCACCATAGGCCCTCCAGGGGCATGTCCAGCTGATCTCAGACACCCCCCTCCAAATTCGAGGTATTGTAGGGAACAGGAGTCAGCCGGGGGAAGCAGGCAGCAGGGCTGCCTGGGCAGAGGTTGGGGTCTCTTTGAATCTCACCTTTGGGTGTCCCAGGGCAGGGAAACAGGAGGGCAGAGGCTGGAGGGAATGCTGACCACCCAGACCAGGATGCTTCACATATCCTGGAAGTGGCGGTCTCAGATCTGGGGGTTGCCAAAGCAGGCAAAGCCTGGCAGCCTCCCTCCATGCTGCCCAAGTCAGGGTGGCCATCCACAGGCTGGTGTGACTCCCAGAGCAAGAGAAAAACCCTTCCGTCCGCTCCTGCCAGCCCCGGGGGCCTCACAAACCCTCTCTTGGTGGCCCCTCCCTGGCTGCCAGCTTCCCGGGCATCACCTTAAGTTGCCAGCTCAGGAGGACGGAGCCCCTGCCCAAGGAGGCAGCTGCAAGTGTTCCCCTGGGGTGGTTCCTTCTCTGGCCCCATGAGCCCTCCCCAAGGACAACACGGTGTGTCGCCTCACCTGAGCGTCTCCTCTCTTCCCAGCTCTCAGCTGGCTGCACATCTGGCTTGGATGGGGGCCCGGTTTAGCTGCAATCTGAACAGAGCCAGTCCTGTGTCATCCCCAGAGGAAGGGCTGCGCTTCAGGTCTCTCTGCTGAGGGCTGGTTTGGTGTTACCCAAGCACAGAGGAAGTTGAGCCCAGAAAGTAGTGTGGGTGGGGAAGAGAAGAGGAAGCTACCCCCACCACCGGCGTCGCTTGAGAGAGGTGGGGGGAGGACACCTGCCCTCACCAAAGACTCTGAGGCATGCAGGCCAACAGCAGCTGACCGTCTACAACAGGTCCCACACCTAGACTGTGCTTGAATACCCCCACTGAGGGGGAGCTCACTATCTCTTGAGGCAGCCCATTCAGCCTTGGCTGGCTCTATGTCCTAGAAAGATTGTTCCATCCACTGAGCCTGACCTCTGCTGATAGTCTGAAGATGAATTGTCAAAAGCTGTTTATACTTGGCAATGAGGCCTTTTTTGTCACTTATTTGGCAGGGGCAGGAAGCGTGACCCTGTGTTCTTTAAAGCCATGCTGTCAAGGTAAAAAGGTTTTAAGCATGAGCCCAGAGAGAGACAGGTCTGTAGTCAGAGGGCCAGCCTGGCCTCTCTCCCCTGAGATCTGATCTGGAGGAGTACCGATAGAACCCCTATCCTGCAAACTGAAGCATGAGGCTCTGAAGCAGGAACAGATAGATGGTGGCTGCTAGCTCTCTGCAGCCCCAGGCACCATGGGGTAGGAAGGTCTAGCCCAATGCCCAATCCACCACCCTCCATACAGCATCTGCTCAGTCCCTATGACATGGCACCCACCCAGTGCCCTTCCAAAGCCTGGCATCATGCCCATAGCATGGCACCCACTCAGTGCCTAGATCAATATTCAACATAGCACCTACAACATGGCACCCACTCAATACCCATCCCAACACCTGACATAGTGTCCGCAACACGGTACCCACTCAGGACCCATCCCAATGCCTGGCAGTACCCACAATATGGCACTCAGTACCCTTCCAAAGCCTGGCATAGTGCCTACCACATGGCACTCACTCGGTGCCGAGCCTAGTACCTGTAACACGGCTCTTGCTCAGTACCCAGGCCAGTGCCCAGCCCAACACCCACAACACAGCACCTACTGAATATGTATTTCTTGAATTATTCTTACTTGGTTGGGCAGAAAGGATGAATCCCTCCTGGGCACAGCTAACCAGGGACTTGGAGAAGGAGGCATCAGCTTCCTTAGCCCACTTGGCTGATGGATAAGGCTGGCCCTGGAACACCAGCTTTCTTTAGCTCCTCATATGGAACTAGTTATAGCACCCAGAACTGGACTCCAAAAGGCAAGTCCAATTTAATAACTGTTAAATTAACAGGAGAATCAAATAGGGAAACTGAGGCCCAGAGACAGGAATAGACCTGCCCCAGGTCACACCCTTAGTAAGCTGAATAGCTGAACCCTCTTATTTGTGTTCTTGGGTCCCAGCATCAGGTAGAGCAGAAGTAGCCCTGAAAGAACCAAAAGGAGGAGCCTTTAAAACATTCCAAAAGGAAGTGGGTCAGGAAGACAGGTACATCCTGACTTCCTCCACCCTCTGCACACACAAACAGAAGAAAAGGAAGAAGGGAAACCCAGGAGTCAGGAGAGGCTGCCTGAGCTGCCCAGAACGGGCACATCACCTCCGCAACATCTCTCCCTACAGATTTCACCTCCGCAACATCTCTCCCTGTAGATTTCACCTC